ATAGATAGATAGATAGATAGATAGATAGATAGATAGATAGATAGATATCTAACTAAATGACAGCTAATAACAGATACGGATTGATAGAGAAGTAAATAGGTAGATAATGACACACAGATCATAGATATATAATTAGATGATAGTATAGAAGTAGTAGATTGATAAATGATACATACATAGATGGTAGATTGATAATATAAGTAGGTACATAGATAATAGACTGATGACTGATAGATGATTGATTAATAAATGATAGATGATGGATATAGTTGCATGTATCATCATGTGCAATGAGCTTAACAAATCTGTTTTTTTCAAAAGAATATATTGCAGGCATTCAGTAAAGTATTCTTAGAAACAATAAGTGGATCAAAATTATAAAAGGAAGCAGAACACTAGGGATATAGTAGGAGACCCGACTACATCTTTCCCGAGAGCACTTTCTTCACAGATGAGAATGGGAGAAGAACAAGTGGAAAAGGAAGGGCCTCAGTGTAACTTGACAGAGCCTTTTAACCAGGGAAGGAGTACCTGCCACAGCTTCCAGGAAGACAGCCGAGGCTGAATTCTAACATTTTTTTTGCCACAGCTAAGTAACTGCTTTCACCTCATCCTAGAAATGTGGCCTGATTTCTGTATTTGCCACTAAATATACCAAATCTTTCCCAGCAATTATATATATATATATATATATTTTTTTTTAATTTTATTTTTTTTTTTTGAGCTAAGACTCCAGCCTGGAGTCTATGAATCTGTTAGGAAGAGCTCCTCTATCTGGAGTGCTCTGTAGTTCATGCCCCAGCTTCCCACTGAGATAGGAAGGTCATCACCTCTCCTTTACTGTTCTCCCTTGCTCTTCTCTGTGAAATCCTAGGTCCACTCAGCTTTACCACTGACCTAATACACACAAGCAACCACATTTTTCATAGATGGCTCACATAAATTTTCTTCAGTGATTCTTTTATGTCCAAGGTGTAGTCTTGAACCAAGCTGAAGCACGGCACACACACATTTAAATAAGGTAATCCCCATGGCTCACCTCATTTCCGCCAACCGCCTTGGTTAAAATCACAGCAGAGGACACAGGGGGCGGCATGCAACCTACTGTCTGCAAACTGAAAAAGAAAAGAAAATCCTATTGTAAATCTCTCTTTGCTTGATTATGAGTAATTTCCACTAGTCGGTCCTAAAAGAGCAGAGCTGAACAGAGAAAACAGTGTTACCGATGCTAAGCGTGGACACACGGAACAATGCGGACTAGAGGACATGAGAAATGTGTGGGCCGAGTGCTCATTGCCTTCTGTAGGCTTAAATGGTTCTATTCGGTTATTTGAACTGTGCACAGTGGGCAGGGTGTGCGTTGCCTTCTGTAGGCTTAGATGGTTCTATTCAGTTATTTAAACTGTGCGCAGTGGGCAGGGTGCTTGTTTTGACATGCACAGTGCCCTGGGTTTTATCCTTAGAACCACATCAAATAAGGGCTGTGGTGGTTCATGCCTTTGCTCCCAGTAGAGGCAGGCAGATCTCTGAATTCAAGGCCAGCCTGGTCAACAGAGTGAGTTCCAAGACAGCCAGGGCTACACAGAGAAACCCTGTCTCAAAAAATCAAAATAATAATACAAATAATAAGTAAGATATGCCTATAATCCATCCCAGCAATACAGAAGACCCTGTCTCATTAAAACAAAAACACAACAAACTTTGAATATGGAATTCAAAAAGCCACTAGGCTATGTTAAGTGGAGTCACTGAACAATAATGAAACTGGATGACATAATCTTGGCTTCCTGCCATAGATACCTGCAGGAACTGGTACAGTGGTCCATACCTGTGGTCCCAGCTAAGAGGAAGATGAGGCAGGAAGGATCATGAGGTCAAAGACAACTGGGCAACACAATAAATTTCAAAAGAAACTCTCCCCAAGCCTCAAGATGACATCTAAAGCTCAAAAATATTTCCTAAAAGTTTACAATTCTCAACTTCCCTCTCTTCAACAACATTCTCATGTTCTAAAGTTACTGCGGAGGCAATGATGTAATCTTACACATCTAAAATTCAGACACCATAGTGAATTCTTTTTTTTTTTTCCGAGACAGGGTTTCTCTGTGCCTCTGCCTCCCGAGCGCTGGGATGAAAAGCATGCACCACCATACCTGGCTAAAGACTTACTTTACTTATGTATTTTAGATGGTTGTTTGCATGCATGCTTACACACAGACTGTAGTGAACTCTAGTATCTACTTCTGTGTAGACCAGGCTGGCCTCGAACTCACAGAGATCCGCCTGCCTCTGCCTCCCACATGCTGGCATTAAAGGCGTGCACCACTGTGCCTGGCTTCTAATACCTACTTTAAATTTGAATTATGTTCATACATCCATGGTCATGATCATGAGCATATTCACTCAGTTGATAGAGAAAATAAACTTCATGCCAGGCAAACAGAACTATGGGTAGCAAATCTAACAATTAAAACTGAATACAATCCTCAGCATTTGAGAATATGTACTAATCAGGAGCGAAGTTCAGAGTGGACACAGTGGGCACAGACACAGTAAAGAGAAGCCCCGGTGTTCAAGGGCAGCCTGAGAAACATATTGAGACCTGTCACTAAGATAAAATAAAAACAAGGGGATCTGGGAAGATGTTTTGTTTTTGTTTGATGTTTGAGACTTGGTCTAACCTTAAACTTACTCTATAACCCAGGATAAGCTCTATCCTCCTACTTCAGTCTCCCTAGTGCTGTGAAGCAGAACATTTAAAATAGTTTCTTTGTTCTGGTTTGTTTGTTTGGTTGGTTGGTTTTTTTGAAACAGGGTTTCTCTGCATAGCCCTGGCTGTACTCACCCTGTATAGCCCTCCTGGACTCACTCTGTAGACCACCCTAATGAGAAGCTTCTCCCCCACGCCTGGATGCTCACACACTGCTGAGTGGCGCTACCTCCACTCTGTGCCTTACTTGTATTCTACCATGATTCTGAGGTGGTTTGTACTCCCCCAAGCTAACTAGACTTAGTTTTTGTTGTCAATTTGACACAAACTAAAGTCACCTAGGAAAAAAGAACCTCAGCTGAAGAAATCCCTCAATTAGGGTGGCATATAGCACTGTCTGTGAGGCATTTTCTTGATTACTGATTGATGCAGAACCTAGCCCAGTGTGGGCAGTGCCACCCTAGAGAAATGGGCCTGGGTCATGGAAAAGGTCAATCAGAGAGCAAGCCAGTAATCAGCATTCCTCCCTGACCTCTGCTTCAGCGCCTGCCTTGACTCTCCTCAGTGATGGACTGCTACCTGGAAGTATAAGATAAAATTAACCCTTTCCTCTCCAAGTTGCTACTGGTCATAGTGTTTATCGAAGCAAAGGAAGAGCAAAATAGAACACAAATACACCAGTGTTTCTATTCAAACTCAGGAGGCCAAGGGAGAACAAAGGGGTTTGAGAAGAGATTTACCTAAATGAGGGAGAGCAAGTTTGGGCTCCTTTAACACCCTGGGGTGGATGTGAGGAGACCACCTGTTCTATTTAGCACACAGGTGACAGGTGCTACTCTCCTCATAAAATATCACCATGCTATTGGAATGCACTTTCTGATGATCACATTGTAGTAGCTAATGCTCTTGGCTTGGCACTTTTGTGAGCTCTCTCTCATCTACAGCTTCAAGGCACAGATTCTTCAGCCCAGTACTTCAACTCTGCTGACATGACCCTAAAGTAATTTTGTGTCTCTCACTAACATCTCATTTTGGAGCCCTTTACTCTAGACATACACAAATGCTGTTGGGTTTTAACTGATATGTACTATCCTTTATCATGCATACAGACAGACAGATGGACAGATAGATAGACAGATTTACATACAATACACAGAAGCACACATAAATAGCAAATATACGTTGTATGTATTCTATCGGATTGGGAATTTCCTGAAGAAAAATAATATAACATGTTCCTACTCCTTACATGCCCCATGCACAGCAGATGCTCAGCACTTCCAAAATTTCAGGACACAGGAGCATCATTGCTCTGAAAGGACATCATCTTATTATGCAGCATTTTACCTCTCCTGGTGAGAGGTGGTGCTCTTTCTCTGAAGCACAGTATGGCGAAAAGTGCATTCCTGATCTCCCTTCTCTGCTCCTAGGCCATCAGAGTCCCCTAGCTCAGCAGGGAAGCCTTCATCTCCAGGTGACTGACACAGCCCTCCAACAGAGAGGACTGAAAACTCTACAACCAAGGCTACCCCACACACTTCTCTGTTGCTCTCCCACATTCACTAACCTCCACCCTTGTTTCTCCAGTTTCATCTCAAGCACCTCTATTATCCATCGCAGCAGAAGAGTCCAGTGCAAACGGGACTCATACCATGGGCCTTCCTCACTCCAGCCAGCTTCCTGCAGCTCCCAGAAGGAGGTCTCAACACTGCAATACAGCTGATGAGACTGCATAGCCAGCTCCTGTGTCCTTCCACCTCCAAGTCCTACTGTCTTTCCACCACACAGTCAGGACATACCCTGACATGGGTTGCTTTACTGAACCTACCTATAGCACCCCAGGCTTGTTTCTGCATCACTGCCCAGTACACTCTTTTCGGTGCAGAGAAAATTCTCCCCAAGAACTCTGGGAGAAACAGTTTACCAGCAGCCTGGCCACCCAACCCACCACGCCACGTTCCCCTGACACCACTCCTTTTTATTTTGCCCACCCTACTGACTGTTGCCAACCGACTCTGAGTCTCCCTGCTGGGCGAACGCACTAGCATGTGGCCACTTTTGTTTGCTGTTCTTTCTCCAACATCTAAAATAATCCCTGGCACATAGTAGGGCTAAACAAGTAACAAAGAACTTATGCCATAGGTGGAAACATCTGATGCAGAAATCGTTAAGTATGGTTAAAGTATGGTTTTCCTCATTTTATACAGAGAAAAGCAGGCCTACGCTATGTTTTACTGGCAGTCACACGGTATGGCAGTGGTAGGGTCAGAGGGCAACCTCTCGGATCTGTGGCTGGTGTTTTAGCAGCTATAACATGCTGAAGTGAGGTTAGTGTTAAACTTCTAGTTAATGTTTCAATTGTTAATTCTTTTCATTAAACATAACATTTTTCATGAAAGAAAAAAATCCCCATAACTGTTAAATTACCTGTATCAACATAAAACAGGACAAGTGTAAAATTAATTATCTCTCCCACACATATACATTTATTATGCATTTTTAAAAACAGACGTTATGCTCAGTCATTATCATCCAATGCTTGAAAAGATACAGACAGCCAAGACAGCAGCTTTACATTCCCACACAGACAGACGCAAAATCCTCTAGTGAAGGAGGTTGGGGTGTATGTGTTTGTGCAGGCCCAGAGACCACAGGAGGACATGAGGTATAATAGTCCCTTAGTCTCCATGACTCCCTCGAGAGACAGGGCCCCTCACTTAACACGGAGCTAAGCTGACAGGCAGCAAGCCTGGCAATCCTCCTGCCTCTGTCCCTCAGCCTTGGGGTCACAGACATGCTCACTCTGAATACCTTAGCCACCTCCCTAAGCCTCTCTTACAATTCTTAAATTAAGCGCAGGGTCTGCTTTAAGATTTTGTTAAACACTTCTCTCCTAAATCTCTGCTAAAAACCTATTGTTTTAACAGACAATGTTTAAAAAGCACAAGCTTTCCTAGTAACACACAAGCCCTTTTGTTTATAGTTGCCATAGAAACTTTGGTATCAGCAGACCTACTCCATCAAAAGGTTTAAACATACCCTTTTAACAGCCACTCGTTGATGGATGTGACTGACAAGAGCTGAAGAAAGAGCCAGATTGTCGCAGGGAAGAAGGCAAGTGTGAAGATCTGGATGAACAGGTGCAGTTTCAAATGCACCAATGCACTGGTCAGCTCCTGGAGGAGTGAAGGAGACAACGGCCACGGTAAGCAAATGCGGCAAAGAGCACACTCGTAACGTGACCTCACGAGCGTCAGCTTTGAATGTTGCATTGTTTCAACTCTTAGACCTTTACAAGCATATGTATGAGGCAATTAGAAATTACTTCTGAGCTATCTAATTTCCTTCAAATACATAACATGCTCTAAGATTCAGAGCTGTACATTTCCGGACAGGACCGCATTAGATAACTAGCATTGCAGTGGTAGAGATTCAAAGACTGGTGATGCTATAAATAGAACACGTTTACTGTCATTAAAGATTATCTTAAGCTGGGCGTGGTGGCACTCTAGGAAGCAGAGGCAGGCGGATCTCTGTAAGTTTGAGGCCAGTTTGGTCTTCAAAGTAAGTCCAGGACAGCCAAGGGCAACACAGAGAAATCCTGTCTCGAAAAACAAAACAAAAAGGAAAAGAAAAATTTCCCATGACTTAGCACACTATCGCCAAAAACAGTCTTCCCTTTAGATTATCCCAGGTATTTGTCAGAGAGAAAAAAACAACAACAAAAACCTAGCACAGGAAAGAGAACAATTAAATAGGCTGAAGTCTACCCAGTGTTGTGATCTATTAACTGTGCTGAGGAGGGTGACGTAGAAGATTAAGATCTTACACTCTACCACTGGCACAAGCTGTAGAGAGCTGGCAACTTGCTTCTTCATTCAAGAAATGCTGAATGTAGCTGAGGGTGGTTGAGTAGTGGAGTACTTATCATGTATGGCCAAAGCCTTGGGTTCTACCTCCTGAACCCCACCCCCACCTCACAGCAAGACCTGCCTTTAATCCTCAGAACCCATGTTTAAACAGCTGGGCATGGTGCCATGTGCTTGTAAGCCCAGGATGAACGAGGCAAAGACAAACAATCCCTAGGGTCTCACTGCCCAGCCAATTTATCCTACTTGGTGAGTTCCAGGGCAGTGAGACCGTCTCACAAAAAATGGAGTAGGGAACCAGGGACAATGTCTGAGAAACAATACTGGTATTTGTCTTCTGGCCTACACACACACACACACACACACACACACACACACGAGCACACAAACGTATGTACACACAAATATTAAAAACAGAAAGTGGAAATAAAAAGCAAATAAGCCTATAAGACCCATACTTATTTATGTGCGTTTAAGGCGATACATTCAAATATACCATCATGAATAAATGAAAATTGGTTCTGCGGGACAGCTATTTATACATATACATATGCGGGTCAAATTCTACTCCACAGCACATAGTGATACAGCAGAGCCTCATGAGTGAGAACCTCACACCAGGGCTGACTAGGATGCAGAAAGATGGTAATTACACATCAATTTCCCTTCCAGCTGTTGCTTGACCTTTCTCAGACTTCCTTTCTGAGCGTCAGCACCTGGGCTGTGGGCTTGAAACCAAAAGTTTAGAATTTGCTATACTTACTTTTCACCTAATGGGATTTCTTCAAAAGTCATCATCAGTTTAGAAAACAAGAACAACAACAACAACAACAAAAAAAAACAATCCAAAGCAAAGAACAAAAACCTTCTGAGGATCCTTTGGCAGGCTCTGAGTGCCCAGAGCTTTGGTCCCGGGTCTTGTAGCCACCATCTGTCTAAATGAGCTGGCCTGACTACCACCTACTTATTACAAGCTCTCTGAAACTATAAGTTTGGAGGTGGACATTAAGGTTTGAATTTCCACACAGGCTTATTCGTGTGTGTGTGTGTGTGTGTGTGTGTGTGTGTGTGTGTGTCTGCACGCGTGCGCACATGCACAAACTGAGGCATATGCAGGGCCCCAGCCTTTGTAAGGGCATCCTCTATCACTTTCCACCTTTTTGTTTTTTTTGAGAGGAGTCTGTCACTGAGCCTGGAGTGTATCACTTCAGCCAGAGGACATCGTGGGATCCATGTGACTGCCCCAGCAGTGCCATGGTTACAGAGCAGGTCATTTGTCCAGTTTCACCTGGGTCCTAAGGGTTACGGCTCAGGTCCTGCTGCTTAGGCTACACCTCCCGGCTGTGCCGCCTCCCCGTTCAGGCTCCTCTCCTGATCGTACTTCCCGGCTGGTTGGCACTGCTCTGGGAGGGTGGAGATCTTTAAGAGCTAGCGGCTCTCTAGGTTAGAGCTGGCCCTCGGCCCACCCACACCCTCTCCTCTGTCGTGGCCATCCAAGACATGAAGGCCTTGCACACACACGCCATTGGCAGGAGCTTCACTGTGTTCTCCCTGGCAGGATGAGTGGACTGAGCCCAGGGAAGTCCTTCCTCCCTCATGCTGTTTCTGTCTGGAAGTTTAGTCAGAAAGCTGCAACAGTAACTACTACATTAGCTGAATAGAACGTTTAATTCAAGTTCACTGTACTTCAGTACAACATTTCCAAAAATTTTCCAGCAGGTTTTCAAAAATTAGAAACCAATAGTCATTGGTTTCATATGAGCTGAAGATTCAGCTTACATCAGCATAGGACCCTTTACGATGTTTCATAAATTAGTAGGGGCTGGGACCAAGAGTCTGCAAAGTGCCTGCTGCACAGGAACAAGGACCCGAGTTTGGATCCCCAGTGGCCAGGCGAAGCTCATGGAGGACTGAGACAGGCAGACCCTCAAGTTCAGCAGGCAGTTCAGCAGGCAGCTAGTTCAGCAGGCAGTTCAGCAGGCAGCTAGTTCAGCAGGCAGTTTAGCAGGCAGCTAGTTCAGCAGGCAGCCAGTTTAGTAGGCAGCCAGTTTAGTAGGCAGCCAGTTTAGTAGGCAGCTAGTTCAGCAGGCAGCCAGTTTAGTAGGCAGCCAGTTTAGTAGGCAGCCAGTTTAGCAGGCAGCTAGTTCAGCAGGCAGCTAGTTTAGTAGGCAGCCAGTTTAGCCGACCAATGAACTGGGTGCAAGTGGGACACTCTACCTCGAAAGCTAATGCAGAGCAGCAGAGAACACCAGACATCAACCCCCGGCCTCCGCGTGTTGTTCACATGTACACATGCAAACACAAACACACACATACACTAATACAAGTATACACACACAAGTAAAATAAATAAATATATAAACTAATTTTAGATTATGCATATTAAATCAATGTATGAGTAACACTCCATAAAAGTTCAATATAAATCAAAGCTGAGTGGGACAAGCTCAAATACTTTCAAATAGACGCAAGTCAATAATTTACTATCTCCAGTGAACAAAACCACACTATTCTAGGACCAAATAAAATAGAAAATAATAATCATAAAAATCACAGATCCAGTTCAAATTAATTTAGGATTACTAAGTGAAAAATAAGTTATAAAACCGTTCTTTCCTGCTTCCTAACTGTTGGACCACCCGTGAAAACAGCAGAGCTTAGATATGGTCTAGCATTATACAGTAATATACTCTACGTTAAATGGCTTTTGAAAATGGATGACTGTCGTGCTGGTTTGAAAAGGGTCTTTGACAGAGGAAATGGCTTTGATGGCTACTCAGATACCACAATAAAGTACAGGATCAAAGTCCTTCATCATTACATCCAAATTAGCTGGGTAACTCAGAAGGCTTCCTAGGTGCTCACAGAAGCTGGTCCTTAGAGAGATGCTGATAGCTGTGACATTCTTCCTTCTTCAACTCTTATAGTCCACAAAGTTGGCTGCTTTACAGAATAACATTAAATAAGAAGCTAAGGAGTAAGAGATGGGAAGTCTGCTGACAGATTTTTCATGGCATAAATAACAGCTGCAGCCATTAAATAGATACCAGGGGACATAGTTAGAGCAATGTCCCAACCAGAGGACTTTGGGAAGGCAGCTGCTCCACAAAGCATTAGCCAAGGCCAGCAGGAAGACCTCCAAGTCATGTCTGACCTGCACCACAGCGCAGCAAATACCAGTCTGCATCACTGTGCCCACATTGAGAACCAATGGTAAAACTCAGGTGTTTACGGAAAAAGCCTACCCTCTAAAAATGGCTACTTCTAACCAATAACATCTCTAAAGGCCTATAACTGAAAGAACGGAGAAACTCATCCTGCATAGGCTATTTTGAGAGGCAAACAATCAGTGAGAATATTGATTATTGTTGGGATGAAATTTATCAGTTCTAAGGGCCCAGAGAGATGGCTCAGTGTTAAAGCACTGAGCTGTTGTTCCAGAAAACCTGGGTTCAATTCCCAGCACCTACATGGCAGCTCCCAGCTGTCTGTAACAGTTCCAGGGAACCTGATACCATCACACAGACATACATGCAGGCAAAACACCAATGAGGAAGGGGGGGGGGGGGGGGGGGGGAAGGAAGGAAGGAGGGAAGGAGGGAGGGAAAAAAGGAAGGAAGGAAGGAGGGAAGGAGGGAGGGAAGGCAGAGAGAGAGAACATTTGCCAGGTGGTGGTGACATACACCTTCAATCGCAGCACTCAGAAGGCAGAGGCAGGTGGATCTCTGAGTTTGAGGCCAGCCTGGTCTACAGAATGAGTTCCAGGACAGTCAGGGCTACACAGAGAAACCCTGTCTCAAAACAAATAAAAAAAAAAAAAAAAAGAAGAAATGTATTGGTTCCAAACACTACACAGTAATCCTATGTATATCAAAAAATACCCCCAATGAAAAGATTTATAACAGCCCAATAGGTACAGAATAAAAAATTTAGTAAAAACCAGTCTCCCATGGTATTTACGGGTTGACCTAAGAAGGAGGTAACTTTAGTCTTTGAGTTTGTGCTCTGTGGCTGTGGTAAACACCATGACCAAAAGGAAGGAAAGGGTTTCTTCATCTTATGATTCCATCACGGAGGGAATTTGGGGCAGACCCAACCAGGAACCTGGAGGCAGTAACCAAGCAGAGACCATGGAGGAAAGCTGCTTTCTGGCTTGTTTCCCATGGCTTGTTCATCTTCCTTTTTTTATACCATCCAGGCCCACTTGCTCAGAGGTGACACTGCCCACAGTGGGCCGGACCTTCCAATATCAATCATTAGTCAAGAAAACGGTCCCACAGCCTTCCCTACAAGCAGTCTGAGAGAATCCTTCAAATAAGGTTCCCTCTTTCCGATGACTTGGTTTGTGTCAAGTCAACAAAAAGTAGCCAGCAAAGTTTCAATCAAATCACACCAAAATACAACCCTATGACCTAGCTAGCTACATACCTGGGCATATACCCAAAGGATTCCATATCCTGCCACAAAAAAAAATACTTATAAATTTATGTCCATTGCCACTGTACTGACAAGAGCTAAAAAATGGAATCCGCCTAGATGTCCAACAACTGATGAATGAATAATGAAAGTATGGTAGATATACACAACAGAATATTATTCAGTAGTAAATAAAATCATTAGATTTATAGAAAAGCTGGTGAAACTGAAAAATATTATACTGATGTAAGCCCAGTCCAGAATGACAAAGTCTGTATAATCTTTCACATGGGCATCCTAGCTTCAAGTTTCCACATTCTCGGATTAGTTTGTAGTATCTGTAGAGAGAGGTCAGGCACCAAAGAGTGCTCAAGAGAGAGGCCAATAGGCCTTCAGGGAAGGAGAAGTGTAAAACATAGGTGATATGAAAGAAAGGGAAATAATGGGGGTTAAAGTTTTAAGCAGAGAGAGCAGGAAGGAGGAGATGGGAGGCTGAGTTAACCAAAACTAAGAATATATTTTAAAAGTCTCTGGAAACCCATTTTATAAGTAATTAAAACATGATTTAAAAGGAGGAGTTTGGGGGCTGAGAAGATGGTTCTGTGATTAAAGCAGTGGCTATTCTTTGGCTATTCTTCTAGAAGACCTAGATTCAGTTCCCAGGACCCACTTGGTGGCTAATAACCAACCACCTTTTTAAGCTCTCCTGGGTAATGTACATACACGGTACACAGATATACATGAAGACAAGACACCACTACACAGAAAATAAAAATAAGTAAATCTATACAAATAAAATCTTAAAGTGTTTGAAAGGGTGAACCCCGCATGAGTAGACAATGCTTCTCCTGGAAGACATGGTTATCAATTGAAAATCTCATGTCAGATGTGAGATAGCTCCCTACAAGCTGCTGGTTAGGGAAAACCCAGAGGCTTTCAAAATCAAACACAAGTTGTTGCTCTTGGTTACCCACAATAACTCCAGGGCATGACCCTATTGCCGAAGACACCGGGCACTTCAGTTACAGCACACAGAGAGCTCAGGCTTGCCTACACTCATCTGAAAAATTCTTCACGACCTCGTTTTCATAGTGCCAGAAGGTGCTCTGCAGGTTGTTGGGGATGAAAGGCATCAGTCATCTTGTATTGGACGCTGGGTGGCTCCACCAGCGCAGTATGCCATGACCATTTCGAGGGCGGCCGACTACAGGAAAGAATTCTTGCCTGGAACTGTAACCCTGATCGAAAGCCCATGGCTGCGGCCCTGGGATGAAGTGGTATGTAGAGGGACATCTACTATTGCTGCCTTCCTAACCAGGCTTGTTTCAAATTGTATTCTAAATGTTCACAGGCATACCCTAAGTTTATACTGTCCTCAGCCTTGGTCGGAGAAGCATTTTTCCACAGTAGATAGCAGTTTATACGAAGACTCATCCATTCCCCTTGAGCGTGTGTGCATGGTCTTTGCTTATTTTCTCTCCTCTTTCCTTTTCCTATCAACTCACAAACAAGTGAGTAGATTCAGGACCTAACTGGGGAGGCCTCCTGCTCCTATGCAGGAGCTAATCTCAGATCAAAGAGCCCCTTTTTACAATCCCTTGCAGTTTTGGTTAGATGCCGCCTTTCACAGTCCTGGCTGCAGGAGAAAAGGTGAACGGTTAGCTTTCCTCCTCAGGAGCAGCGAAGCCAGTCCCTAAAGCTAGGGAAGGAATCCTGGGCTCCCGCACCTATTCCTTCTTCCTTCAGTCATTTTCCTTGATCAGTTGCCTGAGCCATCAGTTCAGCGACCTAAGAGATAAAGTGGACTGGGGATTCTGCATCCCGTCCCAGATCCTACCTTGGACCCACATTGGCAATCGAACTTTCGAAGACTTTAACAGCCTTGGCTGTCCTGGACTCACTTTGTAGAGCAGGCTGGCCTCAAGCACACAGAGATCTGTCTGCCTCAGCCTCCCTGTGCTGGGATGACAGGCCTGCAGCACTACTGCCTAGCTTTCAGACATCATTTTTCCATAGTAGGTGAGATATATTATTGCAGTCTGACTTTCTGTTTCTTCGATTACATCCCTTCATAAGAATATTTTTCATACCAATTTCCTTATTAAAAGAAATGATCTGATCGTTTGGGCAGCCATGATGGCATGCGCCTTTAATCCCAGCACTCTTGAAGCGGAGGGAAATGGATCTCTTAAATTTGAAGGCAGTCTGATCTACAGAAAGAGTTACAGGACAGCCAGAGTAACATGGAAAAGCCCTGTATTGCTCAAATAAATAAATCCAAAATAAACAACAAAAATTATTTACAAAAAAAAAAAAAAACCCACACAAAATACTTAATTCTAATCCCATCTCTAGGTCCTCAATCTCAACTGTGAAGTTCCTACGTGCTAGTCCTGCTGCTGTCCAAGTCCTTTCGTCACAGCGAGACCTTCAGACAGTAAACAGCTTCACAAAAAGCCCCTGGAATTTCAGCCCTCAGTACCAGCTAACTTTTCTGCACTGTTTTTCATGCACCGCAGATGACAGTACCTCTGTTTTTAACGATAATCCACTGTTGAAGAATATCGTGGCGACAGCGACATAGGACACAGTTATCTCTGGCTTCAGTGGTCCTGGAAAGAGAGCGATGAGTTACTGTTAGAAGAGCTTTTGCAGCGGGTGAGCTGGTCTGAAAGGAGCCGCTCTGTCCCGCTCTGTCACTCTGTAAAACGACTTTAAACATTAGCGCTGCCCCTAATGTCCACATCCTCCATGTGAGGCATCTTCTGTGATGCCTCCTTATTTCAGAGAGGACCTCAAGGGTTGGGACCATGGCTTTCTGGTTCAGCACACTATCCTCAAACCAAGAACAAAAGAGCTCACCCGACAGTGGGTAAACAACAGCCTTCACGTATACTTCAGTACCTGATCACAGAATCACTCCTGATGCTAACAATCAAAGTGTCCATAACATAAAGATGAGTCACAGGAGGAAATAAATAGATAAATAAAAGCATGTATTTATGCACACATCCAGTCCTGCCCAGCAGTATTCACTGGACCAACATGTAGCAAGCACTACTGTATGAATGGCTCGGTGAGCTCAGAGCACCTGCTGATACACTGCCGTGATTGTAACTATCTAGCTGTGCCATCCCTTGGGCACCTTGGTAAACCAGAGAGCCTGGTCCCTGACCTCTAGAGAATCTTCTCTGCATAGGTATTAATGCTGAGAGGACCACAGAAGCTACCTGTCTTTAAAGGATCAGCCGGGATGTATGCTAACCAAAGGACCAACACTTCAGAAAGTATGCAATTCGTAGAAAATTCTATTTTATACAAGTACAAGTGGCTATCCAGAAGTGGGTTCATTGTGCCCCATCCCCTCCATCAAGATATCTGGTGATTTTAGGAAACCTTCCAGTATCACATTTCTGGCAGTCAAGCATGACACTGGTATAAGTTGTAGAGATCAGGAGTCCTGCTGGACGATCCTGGAGGCATAAAATAACCCTCAAAAAACAAACAAACAAACAAACACTGTGTCTAAAATGTCAACAGCACCTAGGCTGAGAAGCTGGGGTATATACTTTTTGGTTCTCCTGTACTGGATTAAGTAGTGTGTTCCTGAAAGTCATATCTACACAGAATCTATGAAAGGGACCATGTTTAGAAACAGGACTACTGTAAAGGAAATCAAGTTAAGAAGAGGTCTTACTACAACTGGGGAGTCACCCACCAGCTATGTTTGCTTGTACCAGGGATGAAACTGAGGATCTCACACATGCTTGGCAGGCACTCTAGCCTGAGCAACACCGGCAGTCAGCCCCACGACTGGTATTCTACAAGGGATGTTTGTACGCCAGTACATAGTAATGACCAGGAAAAACTAGCACACCCTCAGGAAAGCCAAGGTAAATACCAGCCAAAGGTAAACACCACAGGCTAACTGAAGCAAAAAAAGGCAACTGCTCTAGAATCTTTGGAGAACGTCTTGTCTTTGGACTCTGGCCTACAGAACTGTGAGAGGATGAATTCTGCCATTCTGATGTATCTCTTGGGCAACTTTTTTGCTAGACTAGTTTGCTTCGAATCACATAACAGGATCATAATCATACATACATATATATATATATATATATATATATATATGCATATATAAACATTATAGATACGATATATGTGAGACATATCACAAATAACACAGTCATAGAGTCCCAAAACCCTCCATCCTTTCTATTGACATTTTCAACATATGATAGACGACCAGATTCTGAAAGAAATCATTACTTATTCATTCAACAAACACTTGCTAAGCCAACAATATATCTTAGGTATTTGTAAGACATTAAATAAAAGAAACAAAAATTTTCTCAGTGTAATAAACTATTTCATATACCTGGCATTAACGCAAAGCATCAGGCTGAGACTGGGAAGGCAGGGTGAAAAGGGACAAGCATGAAAGTCATACCATTTGTGGCATATAATTTTAAAAAGAGAGTTTCACTGTTTTCAAAACTGTAAGCATATCTGTCTCAACAGTATACAGGCACAGACTTCAATTACTAAGGAGCTCAGTTAAGGAGCAGAATTTAAAGACAAGAAATATGACTCAAATTAAAAGTAGATTGTTCCCAGTAATTCTAACCATCTGAATTCTAAAAGTAATGTCATTTTTACTCCCCACCTCAGGCCCTCACTTTCTTAGACCCTATTCTTATCCCCTCTCGATCTGTCCACAGTGGACCTCCAGAATTTCTAAAGAAGAGTCAGACAGAGTCAGTGACATGGTTACAAGCAAAAGACAGGGATGAGTCTAAAGACTCATGTATATAAGTATATGTATATGTATATATATATATATATATATATATATATATATATATATATATGTATGTATGTATATAAGTGACACATGGTATATAGTTCAGTGGACGAATCCTGAACTTCCAACGTTTCAAATCCCAGAGACAAGTCACACTGACTCCTGTTACACGAGATGCATATCTAAATAATTTCAATCCAAGAAATGTTTAAGGCTATCCCAGGCCATTCATAATGTTCCTGTCAGTGAACAGGGGCTCCTGCTTGACACACACAATTGTCGGGAACTCTTCAGGACTACAAATTACCCAGGACACTAAAAACTAGCCAAACACCTAAACAGAGGACCGACCTGAAACTAGGGAATAAATCTGTCCCTCTTTCAAACTAATGATCTTCCAGGTCATTGCCGAAACAATACGATTCAGATCTTCCTTTTTTCTTTTTGAAGATAGGGTTTCTCTATGTCACCTTGGTTGTCCTGGAACTTACTCTGTAGAACAGACTGGCCTCAAACTTACAGAGATCCCCCTGCCTCTGCCTACCACAAGTGTCTACCAGTGCTGGGATTAAAGGTATGCGCCACCACTACCCAGCTAGATTCTGACCTTTATAAAACTCAGTTGGTGTTTTCCTTTGCCTTTAAAACCAATTCAAATATTAGTAAGCAAAAATGGTATGAGCTCACATAATCAAAAAGGGGGAGGGGACACTAAGAAAATGAAGCCATTTTGACCTCTAAAACCCATTATTTTTATTTTGTTTTCGGTTGAAACAAGGTCTCCCTATAGAGCTCTGAGTGTCCTGGAACTCACTTTGTAGACCAGGCTGGCCTTGACCTCAGAGATCCACCTGCCTCTCCCTCCAGAGCAGTGGGATTAAAGGTGTGTGTCACCTTGCCTTTCTTGCCTAACCTTTTTAATGGGAAGAAAGAAACTCTTCTGGAATGCTGAGGGAACTAGTAACAATCCACAGAAGCCATGGTCGTCTACCGTCAGGGTCAATCTCACCTCCAAGCATCATCTAAAATATTGTAAGAGTGCAGGGCTTGGGCTCATGCTTTTAATCCTAGAAAAGGCAGATCTCTGTGAGAAGGCCAGCCTGGACTATATAGCTAATGGCAGAACAGCCAGGGCTACATAGTGAGACCCTGCTTAAAAATGAATAAATTAAAAATTAAGATACACTTAAGATATGTGCATAAGATGAGCGTGGTGGCACACGCCTGTAATCACAGCACTGGTTGAGGGTAGGGGCAGGAGGGTCTCTGTGAGTTCCAGGCCAGCCTGGTCTACAGAGCAAGACAGCCAAGGCTACACAGAGAAACCCTGTCTTGGGGGGGTAGATATGTAAGTAATAAATATACTTCAACATATTTTTCTAATGGAAAAACACGTTTCCCTAACTTTTAGCTAACTCTGCCATGTTCCTAGAGACTAAATATCGACCTCTGTTCCCCCGGGCCTTTTGGGCCTTCTCTTCACAGCAATTACTCCCTCCCAGCTCCTGCAGCCAAATTCATTACCATAGACATTTCCACTGTTATCACCAAAGAGGAAGCCTGGCCTCCATTCTCTCCTAAACTCACCTCTGATGTGACATCTGGCTTTAGGCCTCACCATCTAAAACAGAAGCAGGTGGGGGGGGGGGGAGTTGGGGAGGACATGGGACTTGCTGAGGACACAGCTCATGTGTGCGCCAAGGCCCTCTGTTCACTCCCCAATATTCAAACCAAAAAAAGAAAGTGGCACGCTACTTTAAAAGATTTTGTCACCTCTAGCTGGAAATATTCTGCTTCTACATTTTTATGATTGGGGGAAAAAATCCTGCATTAATACCATAAGGATTGTTGAAAAATGGAACAATATTTCTAAGACACAGTATCGTACAAAAGTTCAACAAGCAGCCTGGCTTGGTGCACACCTGTGATCCCGGCAATCCCCCTCCGGGGAGGCAGAGGCAGGTGGATCTCTGTGAGTTCAAGGCCAGCCTGGTCTACAAAGCAGTCCGGGAAACCTGTCTCAAAAAAAAAAAGTTCAATAAGCAGAGTCCAAGAGAACAAACAAGATCACAGAATCTCATTATATGCCAGAGCAACCTTCCTGTCCACATAGCCTCAGGGAACTGACTCAAAGCTGGCACTGCAGTTACAGGCCACACACCACCAGGAAGTTCATCTCAATGCTGGGCAGATAACGAGATCTAGGCCCAAATACTGTAACCAATACAGGGTGCACTGTGCGTCACCTCACAGACACTAGAACTTCACTTCTCACAGCTCCAGGGACAAGAGCTCTTCCTTCGTCTGACGGAACTCAAAATCCCAAACTTCTTTCCCAGAAGCTCACAGAAAGGCTGTATCTAAAATTAAGTGGCAACTTCAGAAGGATAAACGATAAAGTTGTGGTCACAACCAATCATACTATATGTTCCATTTATATTTTAAATAAGTTAAATTTTTTAAAAATTAAATAAAAAGCTTCCCTATCCACATTCACTGTTCAAATAATCGCATTCAAACGATTCCAGAAGCTACTTTTAAGTAGAGAATAGGGATGGAGGTGGGGGTGGGGCCACTTACTACTCTGAGAGATCATCCATTCATTTCTGTAACGTATTAACAAGAAGGTACGATTTCAAATATCCACATGGGCACATTGAAAAAGATCGTGTGTGCTCACGTCTGTCCTTATCTGGACCCATTGCTTGATTTATGCACTCAATCTGTCAATACGCCTGGAACCTACCACCCAAGGTCAAAAACAAATGAACTGAAGAAATTCGATTAATATCTATGAAAAACAGAACAAGGTTGTCTCAAGTTGGGGGTGAGGGTATAAAAGGCCAATGACGCTTCCCATGTTCCCAGCAGTGTCCACAGGCCAAATTACAAAGCTCCTAGTATTCGGAGAGCTGAGTGGGGTTTTAACCCATGCACCCTTCCCTGCCAAAGCATAAACTATGCACAGCCTCACACAGTCTGCAACTGTTGGACTGCTGCTGTGGCAACGGCATCCCAGCAGCACTCGGAAGTAGCGTCCTGCAAGGAAAGAGTGCAACGTGTCAGTCGGACTGGGAGTTTCGGAGCGTCGGCAGCTCAGGCGCACTATCGCTCCCCAACACAAGAGCCACCAAAGTCCGAGTGTGGGGCAGGGGCGTCCTTTCCTCTTTTCCTTTTTCCTGCTGTCATTCTTTCTCCCCTCGCCCCTTCCTCTCCAACAGCCTTTTCTTTTTTTGTAAGGTGCAAAGGGAGGAGTCGGAAATGCACCCGGTAACGAGGTCCACTCCAGGACGGACAGGAACTCGGGGAACTCCTGACGCCCTCAAGTCCCCAGGGACGGGAGGAGTAAGCTTCCTTTCCAAGCACGTCCCTCGCGGCGCCGGGCAGGCAGCCCGCTGTGCAGCCCGCGGGGGGCGCGGGGCCGGCGGGGGGCGCGGGCGCTGCCACTTACCCCCGTGCACGCCGAACGACGGCTCCAGCTTGGCGGCGCCGATCGCCACCACTATCCCGACCATGAACCACTCCTTCCTCGCCCGCTCCAGCAGCCTCATCGTGCCTAGGGAGGGTGGGTTTTGCTGGCGGGTCCGGCCGGCCGGCTTCGCGAGCTGCGGTCCCTGAAGCCCCGGGGCGTCTCCACACTTCCCGCGGCCCCTCCAGACATGCAGCAGAGCGAGTCAGATCGCTACTCGCGAACTGAAGAGGCGGCTCGGGCGGCTGCGAGGCGGGCTGGGAGTAGTAGTACCCAGTGACGGGAAAGCCTCGCTGAGTGCCGCCATCACTACCACGCGCCTCCGAGTAGCCGCGCACCGCCCGAGGGCCCCGGGGCGGGGGACGGAGCGCGGCGGCGCACCCGGCGCGCGCGGAGGACGGAGGGGAGAGCAGCCCCCGTCGCCCCGGCAGGACCCGCGGTGGGGGACAAGGGCGAGGCGCCCCAGGCGCCCAGCCTCATCGCGGGCGTCGCCGCGGTAACCGATGGCGGCGACCTGCAGAGCCCCGCGGCTTGCCTCACAG